CGAAATATCATCAATTCCAAAAACCGCGAACAATGCTGCCAGGACAAATAAAAAGCGGGGGTGACAATGCCCGGACGCCCTTCGTCCCATTGTTCGTCCTCCTTTCTTATATCGCTTGTGGGCGTTTAATTTTTCAAATAAAATCCGCAGATTAGATCCAACCCTCCATTGTCTGGCAACGGCTTCAATCTTTGCGATTACCATTTTCCACCCTCCTCCCAATGAACCTAAGCCAGAAAGAAGTCGTCCTCTCCCATTGCTGATTTATTGCACGCAATATGCCGAGCAACAAGTTTACGTTATTTCCGCAATTAAAACAATCGAAGCCCGTGTCACGAACTCACAGCCATTCTCTAAACATTAATTCCTATATTCCATAACTCATAATGCGTCTGTTATTGATCTTCCCCAGTCCCAGAATTTATAGAGCAGAGCGTTTAATACATTCGCATAACTTGAACAGCGAGAGTCAAATATTCACAAACACACAAATTTCATACACATCAATCAAAATCGCATATAACCAATTTGGGGGGAAAAATCGTCCAAATTCGAATTCGAATTTTCGGTGTTGATAGATAATTGTATCAAATATGAATACGGCAATATATCTGCAATAACGATGCATCCGATAACAATAGGAAATCATTTTAGATTACATTGTTCACAATGCAATTTAATTAGGCTGTGCTTTTGTTGATATTATACATACAAATATGATGCGATTACATATTGGGGGGGGGATTCTCGTATAATTTCGCTTTTCAACAAGCGAAACAAACAGTTTCGAGCAAAATACGCGGCGGTCTTTTATTACTTCTGATATGCAAGCAGGTGTCTTCGCAATAACTTGGAACTTTGAACCTTAAACTTGACTGCTTCTCGTAAAACATAATTACTAATCGCAAGTTCATCAGTCTTCTTGGAAGTCGTTAAACATTCGTAAAATTAGTAATTAACACAAATATATTATTGACATGCTTCTTTCATAATTCATATTTTAATTACAATTTGTTAATTAATTCATTCATAAAGAAAAGGGCTATTGACATCAGTTCTTAATTTATTAATTATATTTATTGTAACAGCATTCCACCTATTTTATTCTGTTAATTGTAGGTATATTTTGTTTGTAAATAAACATATATTTTTTCCCATTTCCCATTTGAATTAAACGTTTTCTTAATAAATTAAATAACATAATTGGCGTAAAATTTATAATTAACAGAAATATTTATTTGAAATTCTTAATTACTATTTTAATTAGTAATTGTAAATGACTAAAATTAAAGTAAAACCTATTATATACTTATAACTACAAAGACAAAGGCAGGAATACTTAAATTGTTTTCAATGTTTTTCATTTATTGAACTAATTAATACTTTAGTTCTTCTTTCTTACAAAATAAAATCTGTTATTGGAATTACATAAATACTTAAGAATTTTAATAAAATAGTTGCTTCACCAGAGTATTTAGCATCAATTAATACAATATTATTGTCTTTCAATTAGAAATTAACAAAAATATTCATATAGACATAATTCTTTATATAAAAATACAAAATTCTGTTCGTATTCATTTTACTTTTTTTTTGTTATTTTCTATTCAGTTTAGTAATTTTTTCTTTTATTTTTGTATTAAAAATGTAATGATACTGAATTTATTTTTTTTTTAATATTTTATTTGAAGAAAATGAAATATTTTAAACTAAAGTTTAAAATAATTAATTTAGTTTACTAAGATATTTGCTAATTATTATTGGGTCAAGGAAAGGTGTAACCTCAACTATCCCCAAAATTATTTCACTAGTTAACAGCGATTACTTGTATCATTATTATGTCTACCCTCAATATTACTTGGGTTATTTATTAGTAAATAATTTAGCTCCAATCAATATGTTATTTATGAACCAATTTTCCAAACCAAATCAATTATAGTTTTTTTAAGTATTTCAAACAGTCCGAATTCATTATAGTCCGGACAAAATTTTAATACAAGTAAATATTATTTCTTTGTACAGTCAAGTCTTATTTTGTGTGGATTATTCTTTGTATCTATATTAAAACGACGATTATCCGGGTCTCAATTTATTGTGGTTCGGATTAACCGTGATCGCAGCCGTTTTAGTGTTTATGTTAAACAATAAAATTGTTCTACAAATCTACATTTCAGTAAATAATTTCACAAGAAAAACAATACAAAAAATTACAGATTAACTTTTAAAATCATTAATAATGTGTTTTTGTATATCAATACAGAGGTATTAAGTTTTTAAAGAGATGTTTGTATTAACCGTGCTTTTCAATTATTCGTGCTTTAACATTCCCGAAATACCGCGGATAATCTACGTTTTACTATATTTATTTTTTCGTTTAATCCGATTTCAAATAGTCCGGATTATTGGTGCATTATATATTAAATTCAAAGAAGACATCATCATTTTAGTCTAAAAAATTTCAATTAATGTATCTGTAATTAACGTATTACTGCATAATTATAATATAATCCCCCATTATGGATATTCAAATAACATAATGCACCGTTAATTCAAACTAATCGAAAGGCGATTATTTCTGTATATGTACAAACACTCACACAATCAATTATGTTCATTAAATCCGCTTCAACATTAGTATTATTATTTTTTTTCAGTATAATTAATTCGTAATGCTTACTTATGCAACGGCCTTACCTCGCTCTGCATACCCTAATTTGCTCAATACGTGTCAGTGTTTAACAATGCCCGGCATTCACAAAACGTGACTGACGTGCAAGCTTACCGAATTACTATTGATATATTGGATTACATTTCCTGTTCCTGACCACCGTCATTATTGCGCTGACAATGGAAAATAATTGTTTCGACGTAGAGTAAAAAAATATACATCAGACTTAACACACTACTCTACAAATTCATTAATGATTAAGTTGACTCTTGGTAATTAGTAATTTGATTACAATTAAATAATTAAATTTGCAATGTACATATGCTAATGTGTAATCAATTACTGTTTATAATTAACAAGCAATCAATTAAAATACATAATTAACAAGTAAATTGCAATTCAATTACTACAAATGGCTAAAAGACCTAAGATATTTTTAACTCCTTAAGTTGTTATGTCGTATATATTCGTCATAGTCTCTTATATTGCGGAGCCCTTATGACGAATATATTCGCATCATGATTTTACTTGGCATTCGCGTAATCGTTCCTAGTAATATTTACTATGTAGGAAACATAACTATGTACAAAACAAAACTCATTGAGTAAGATCTTGGTAATTTACAATTTGGATACAATTACATTGCAATTCAATTACTACAAAAGGCTAAAAGACGTAAGATATTCTTAACTCCTTAAGTTGTTATGTCGTATATATTCGTCATAGTCTCTTATATTGCGTAGCGCTTATGACGAATATATTCGCATCATGATTTTACTTGGCATTCGCGTAATCGTTCCTAGTAATATTTACTATGTAGAAAACATAACTATGTACAAAACAAAACTCATTGAGTAAGATCTTGGTAATTTACAATTTGAATACAATTACATTGCAATTCAATTACTACAAAAGGCTAAAAGACGTAAGATATTCTTAACTCCTTAAGTTGTTATGTCGTATATATTCGTCATAGTCTCTTATATTGCGTAGCTTTTATCAAGAATATTCGCATCATGATTTTACTTGCTATACGCGTAATCGTTCCTAGTAATATTTACGATGTAGAAACTCACTAATTAATCATTAAGTTTGATTTTGGTAATTTTTAATTAAATAATTTAATAATTAATACACGATTGCTAATTTGTAATTAATTATTGTTTATAATTAATAAGCAATCAATTGAAATATATAATTAACAAGTAAATGGTAATTCAATTAGACCAAATTACGTAATCAATTGTGATACAGTTTAATATGTAATAATTTTTTTTTGAATTACTTGGATAATTTTAAATTCTTCAAAAAAATCGTTTTACTTAAATATTTCGTCAAACTTATGAAAATTATAAAACTTTTTTAACTGTAAATTTTCTTTTGTATGAAATTCTTCAGATATTTTCATAATTATAAAAAAAATACATTGAGATTTTATCAAGACTAAAGACTAAATATAATAATTACAAAAATCGTCAGTGACTAAAAATTCAAGATTTCGTTTGAGTTGAACTAGGAAAGGTATTTTTTTGAGATCGTAGCAACAGGATGATACTTCTAGTTGTTTTATGTTTTGTTTATTTATGAGCAAACACCTTCTAAAACGCGATGCACGGACAAATAAAAGCTTAAAGTTAATGTAATCAGCAACGAAACTGATTATGGAAATAGGTTTAGCCCGGAGGAGAGGATAGAGCAAACCAAAAAATAAATTCAGAAAAGCGCGACGAATAATTGCGTTAACACCGAAAGCAAACGCCGTCCACCCTGATTACGTAATCGCGCATAATAACAATGCGGCGGTAGATTTGAAAATAATCCTTGCGGCCTCGAATTGAATATCATCCGAAAACAAAACAAAAAAAAAAGTGGTTCGCTGCTTTATGATGTGATTGCAGTCAAGGGTGGAAGGATCATAAAAAAGGCGTTCGCAAGGATTGGTTTAAAGGAAACAAAGTAAAAAAAAATATATGTGTGTAGTAAACTATGATCTAGACCCGATGTGTAAATATCGCTGAGGGTGGAATAAAAAAAAACATATAGAAGAGGAAGCGACAAAACGCTCAACCCCTTTTTGTTTTTCGTTGTTGTTGATGCTCCTCTTTTTTTTATTCTTATTCTCTCTATGTATTTCTTTCTCTTTCTGTGTATTTCCTGCGCCGGCCTGTTTATTGGATCTTTTTATGGCTCCTTCGTGGAGGAGATACGTAATAGGGATCTCCTTCGCTCGACCCACGTTTTGCTCTTTGTATTTGTATTTCTTTTCTTTTTTTTGTGTTTGTATTTCGCAACGTATAAAAATTTCATTTGATTATGCTTTTGTTGCAGGATAAAATAAATATTTCACCTGCAGGATGCCGGACGTCGTTTGGGTTTTCCTGCTGGCCCTATGGCCATTCACCTTTGGTAAGTTTGCTTTACTTTTCCACAACCCACTTCCCAACATATTTACATAGGATTATGGGCTGCGAAACAAAGCAGGCAAAAATGCAAAAATTTTCTGCTTTAGTATTACTACTAACTGCGCGTGTATTCTGAAATACACAAAGGGCCATAATTATCATTACCAGCGTTTCTTTTGGCCTAACTCATTTTTTTTATTACCACCGGATTATTTTCACCTACGTAAACACAAAACTCGAAGTAATTATATTGATTTTTTGTTACATATTTACATTATTACACTTATATAAAATTACAACGCAGTCATAATATTCGTTATATCTCCTTTTTATAAGTAGTATTTCGTATTATGGGAACATTAATGGAAGTAACTAAATGTAGTAATATGTGATAGCAACTGTCAATGGAAACGTCAATAAACTTAGATTACATGAAATCCACTGGTTGGTACGCCTGAAGAATTTATGTCATGTCATACATAGTGTGGATGCACCATAAAAATGAATGAAATATAAAATACAGGTATCCCCCTACTTACGAACTAGTTCTGTTCCATTGCATTTATTCGTAAGTCTGGGGAATTTTAAAAAAATCAAAATATACTTATGTATGCTAAGACTTTATCATGGTTTTTTCTTTTTTTTGTTGAATTCTGTATTACTGACTGCATAAATTTGAAAATATATATTAAAATAAACAAAATACTTACTTACAAATACTTTTCAATGTAGACATCACAATTATTTAATAAAAAACGACAAAAGAAACAAATGCAACAAATCCAAAAATATTATATTTTATTAAAGAAATTATCAATGTATGTTTGGACAGTTAAATTTTTTATCACTATATATCTCCTTGTAAAAAGGATAGAATTTTGTTCGTAAGTCCGGGAGTTCGTAAGTCGGTGGATATGTATATAATGAAATAGTAGAAACTATATTTGTTAGGAACACTGCAGTCACTTATGTAAGACATACTCGTTATACGTAGATAATCGAATTGTAGTAACATTAATGAAAGTAACTAAATAGCAACTGTCAGTTACACTGTCAACAGAAAAGTCAATATACACTAGTACCAATCCCTGAAATAAAAGTATGTGTCATCTCTTACACAGTTATTCACATCATAAAACTGAATGCAGTATACATCTAAATTAAATAGTAGAAACTCTTTTTGTTAAAAGATTTTAGAAATAATCTTTTCAATTTTCTTTTTGATAATTTGGAAATTTCAAAATTATGTATTTACTAAATAAAATATTGAATTATAAGAAAATAAAGGTTGTATAATTTTGAAATTTCTAAAATTAACAACTTCAATTGTATATAAACATAATATAATATAAATTACAGGTTAAAAAAAACCATTGAAAAAGATAATTAGATTAAAATAATTTTTAAAATTACAAAAATAATTGCTTTAAATTTGCTCTATTAAAACAAAAATTAATTGTTGTCAGAGAATATGTTTCATATGTATATTTTTTTTTCATTGGGAAACTGGGAATATCAGTAGATAAAATTGGCAATTATATGTATTAAATATGCATCAATAAGTTTAATAACAAAATGCAGATCAATATTTTCTCTTTGTGCCGTTTTGCTTGTTTTATTTTAAAGCCTTTTCGCAGTTATTCATTCGATATGATCATTAAAAACATCAATGTGAATTAAACCAATTTATTAGTTATTACGTCGAAAAAGCAAAGTTCATTCGATGTCGAATACGGTATTAATGCAAACAGTGTTTTTTTTTAATAATATCACAGTTTCAGTTTTTATTTGTTTACTTCGAACATCATGAAACTGAAATATTTATATTGTTTCGTTTTGTTTATTTAATTAGTAAGAATTATAATGTATAATTAAGAATTAAAATGTAAAATTGTAAACATACAATTAAATATTGGGTGAAGAAAAATGTTCTGAGCGTTTTGTCCCATACACCGAGCTTCTCCGTGAGACCAGTCTTATGCAAATGGTTCCAAACGGTTTTCTGGTTAATCTTCAGTTCCTGGGCAATGGAATAAGTGCTCGCATGCTGGTCCGATTTTATCGGTTGGCCGACCAGAGCCTGTCTCATCTTTGACGTCCATATTACCAGAACGGAAGTATTGGAACCAACGCTTTACTGTTGCATTCGATACTGTATAGGGTCCATAAACATCACAAGATTTTTTGGCCACCTGCTCCGCTTTTCCCCTTGCTCGTACTGATACAGAAGAATGTATCAAATTTTCTCTTTTTTACCTTCATTTCGGAACGCTCTAACACACTACTGAATTCATTAAACAAAAAACTGTCAAATAACTTTTATTAAAGCGTTATGTTGCCTTTAAGTCGTAGTATAGAATGTTAAGATGCAATGTATACATCGTGAGATATGGTCCACTATAGCCATGTAACCAAAACGCTCAGAACTTTTTACTTCTGGTGATCATTTTAATAGTAAATTTAGTTTATATTTATCAAAAATGCTAAACAAACGCTAATAGTGAACGAAATATTCCAGTTTCAGTTTTTACTTGTCATCAATCTGAAATATTTTCTTGTTTCTTTCAATATTAAATTATTAAGAATTATAAGTCTATGTTTTCAATATCAATTTTTTCTAAAGCTATTTTGTAAAAAAAACTTGTGAAACTTTATATAATAAATGTACTTCTGACGGTGAATATTTATTTCTGAGTATGGACAAACTTATAGAAAAGTAATTTTTTTTTTCAAAAATTCGAAGTGAAAGCAAATAATGATTGTTTTTAATAATCTGAACGATTATTGTTTCAATATTATTTTTTTAAGTATTATAAATCAATGTATTAAATATCATTTTTTTCCAAAGCTGTTTTGTAGAAAACTTTGGAGAATCAATAGAATAAATATACTTCTGATTATTAGTATTTCTGTCTAAGTTTGTGCATATTCACAGAAAACTAACTTTTATTATTCCATTATTTTTTCCAAAACGTAAATTAATTTTCATCATTTTATGACTCTTATTGAAACCATGAAATAAGTTAATTTATTTTAATCATTTATTCAAAAAACGTATATTAATATATTAATTGTTTCCATTATTTCAGGACTTTCAATGAAACAAGGTAAATGGTTTTTATGACTTTTAGAAAAACGTATATATATTTTCACCATTCCTTGTAAAACGTGTATATTTTTAATATTTCCATCATTTCATTCACAAAATAATAGTTTACATTTCATTAAAAAGTTTTTTTTTTAAGAAATCTTTAATTCCTATACTTTTTTCTTCTTCTAAAATTGCCAATATTTTCAAATTTATTAACCAAAAAAAATTATGAATGCACACTTTGCTGTACTTTAATTAAAAAATTGATTATATAATGAAAAGCAAAAAAGATGAGTTTTTTTTTGTGTGTGAATATTTGAATATTTTTTTAAAAACCGCTTTTTTAAATATTTTAATTGCGTAGCAGATTTGCGTTTTTATTTTTAAATTATTTTGTTTGTCGTCTAGTTTGATTTAAACTGAAGTAATTAGCATGCATACACATCTTTTTTTTTGCATGGGTTGGAACACCCCGAAGCATAAATTAAAATATAAATCTGGCTCATATTTCCTGCATTGATTAATCTCTTTGTGCTTGCTGTGTGATTTGTGGATGCGCCCCAATTTTGATTTGTTCACAATTCTGTATATAAATATATGTTTTTTTTTACATTTATTTTCGCGGATTTCACTATTTCAAAACGTACTACAACGATAGTCGTAGTAGTCGATGGTAAATGCTTGATACTGATTAAAGCGATCCGCACAAAGATAGGAGTTTGTTGGGGGTGAAAGGGCGTAGGGGGATTTGTATGTGGGGGAATCCACCAAAATGCGCTGACCTCGAGCATTCAACTTAATGGATTAGAGTCAAAGGTATATATGCCGGATCAAGTACATCGGTTACTCCTTGGTATTGTGCTTTCTAAACAATTAGATATCTCGGAGGGCTTTACCTGCCTAAGATATTGTTTCAGCCCTGTTTAATTAAGCCTAATAGTAAAAGCTATTACTATGAATAAACATTTCGGATCTATTGATTATCCTTCTAAGACTATGGTTTAGTCTAGTATTCTCTGAAAATTGTTCTATTTACATATTCTAAAAGATCTTTTATTGAATTCATAAGGTATAAAGACTGTATAATCTGGAAGTTACGAACATTGAAATTCCGGAGAAAATAATTGTTACTAATATTTTGTATATCTACTTGTTATGATATATTGAAGGTGCCACTGATAATAAAACTTTGATATTGCGAAGTCTGCAATGTTAACCAATATATGACCAGAAATTACTTAAAGAAGACAATTACATGGAACAAATTAGTTAATAAAGTTAACCAGATGGAAATTGTTGAATATAGATGATAGTTTTTCAATTGAAGAAACCTTAGTTGGCAATGAAGACCAAGTAAATGAAGACGAATTTAAAGAAGTTCTTGTAGAAAAAAAATGTTGTCTACCAAAAATTTAAAAAGGTACTTAAATGACTTTAAAAACGTTACATTAAATGATTTTTTTTGTGAAAATCATCCTGATTTAGATAGAAGTGTTATTGTTAAGTGAAAAAGGCAAGAAGTTAGACATAAAGTCATCCAGATGGAATTTATTGAATACAGAAGAAGACGGTTTTTCCCTTGAAGATTTAGAAAACTTTAGATAGCAACGAAGACAAAGAAAATAAAGACGAAATAAAAAGAAGTTCTTGTAGAAAAAATGTTGACTACCAATAATTTAAAAAGGTGCTTAATAAATGACATTAAAAACGTGACATTAAATGACATTTTTAGTGAAAATCATCCTGATTTAGAAAGAAGTGTTCTTGTTATGTGAAAAATGCAAGAAGTTGGACATAAAGTTATCTAGATGGAATTTATTGAATACAGAATATAATGGTTTTTCACGGGAAGATTTAGGAAATCTTAGTTAGCAATGGAGATAAAGAAAATTAAAGAAGTTCTTGTAAAAAAAATGTTGACTACCAAAAATTAAAAAAGGTTCTTAAATGACATTGAAAACGTGACATTAAATTAATTTTTTAGTGAAAATCATCCTGATTTAGGAAGAAGTATTATTGTTAAGTGAAAAAAGCACATATGATGAACTTTAGACTCATATTTGAAAATGTGATTTAACTGTGATAGTTTAAATTAACTTTGAAGTAAACTTTTCTTTGTTTGTAACAAAAAACTTTACAAAAGGTATATAACACCCGAGAAATTATCCAAATTAATCCACTAAGCAAAAGGTGATACTTTATCAGTAGAAGATTTAGAAAACTTTAGTTAGCAATGTTTGTCTTCATCTTCTTCAAAAAGAATGTTAATAATCAAAGATATAAAAAGAAACTCAAAACGTGTATTATTTATAATAAAAATGATTCTGATTTAGGAAGTAAAAGTGTTAAGCGATCAATGTTAAATGCAATAATTCCGTATAGACAATTGTTAAATGAAATTGAAAAAGGCATACATTTTTAACTTTAGACTAATATTTTAAAATTTGATTTAACTTTGTATGTAAGTTTACTCTTAATCAAACTTTTTCTTTGTTCGTAAAAAAAGTTTTTCATTTTCGTTTCTTTCTGACATTCTCACATTTGAAATCATAGTAATTTCTTGGAATGCATACAATTCGTTAATCGAGGTAAGACTGTCTTTTTATTAAATTTAAAAATCAGTCAATTGGAATTAACTTCAACAGATTTTAAAAGGAATCAATTAGAAAGAAATATATGAAAAAATATTACATTTTAGTGTTAAATAATCCAGTTTTTTGTATTTGTTTTTTATATATTTATATTTTATTCAATCTATTAATTCTAATTAGATTTTATAATTAATTAAAATAATTTGTTGGACAGATAATACAAAATAATATATATAATATATACTAAACAATCTATTTTATTGTATTTTGATCAACAAACTAGACAAATAATATATTTTGAAATAATCAATCTAAATAAAATTAAACAAATTATTTATTCGTTGCTTTTCATTCAATAAATAATATATACACAAATAAATCTACTAATTCTAATTGATTTTATATAACAAAAATAGATTATACTGAAAAATAACAATTTAAACTATAATTTATTATACCAAATTGAATTTCCCGTCATTCTACATATATAGTCTTAGGTAAACACACACACACATTTACAGCGACAGTTCTTGTTTTTAAAGAAGTAGACTTGGTCCTCTTTTTATGCGGTTTTTGTTTCAAGAAGCATTTTTTTAAATAACTATTTTAGGCCATTTTGACACGTTTTGACACAAATTGGAAAACCATTTCATCGAAAAAGATGATAATTCTGAACGAGAATTCAAGTTTCAACGCGAGCTTCAGAATTGCATTTCTGGATATCAGGAATTGTACAAAAAAAAATAGCAAAGCCATCGCAAAGTTTAATGACTCATTATATTGTCAAAGGGAAAAAATCAACATGCGAAGTTGAGACTAATTTTACTTGTGAAGAATCATTATCTTCAGGACATAGATCTGATATGCTGACTATCTCTTCTAGTGATAAAATTGATTTCAAACCATTTCACAAATTATGCCGAACATTTTCATAATAATTCAAAAGAAAAAAATATGAAGAAAGATTAACTTTCATAAAAATTTTCTGTATTTTTTTGTAAAATTTTTCCGTATAAATTTAGAAGGTATATGTTAAGATTATATTTTACTGAAATGTAATAAACTTGTCTATGATTGTTAACGTTTTTATAAAATTATGAATAAACATTTCAGAAAGAATATAGTAAGACTAATTATTTTTCTGAAATTTAATAAACTCTTTTTTATGCGATTTTCGGTATATTGTAACTCATTGATTTAGTTTTATGCGGTTTTAAAAAAATATGGAATCTATCCTTTATTTTTATACGTGTGTCTAGTCCTTTTTTGTGCGATTTATTTTTATGCGTTTTCCTGTGGAACGTATCTACCGCATAAAAAGAGAACCAAATGTATCTTGATGTTAAAGTATGTACAAACTACAAAGTACTAAATAACTTAACCAACTTAAAAAATGCTTAAAATGTATAACGTTATTACTCATGAAATCCATGTGAAGTTATTTACCCTATAATAATTAAGGCTATTGTCCTTTAAGAATTTATTACAATGCTTTATAATTAATTGCGAATGTGTACCAACTTAATAAAGCAATGACAATGAAGAGTTTATTTTCTTTATTATTATATGTACCGACTTGAATAATGAATCATATTATTTCGAAGTGCCTCGCATAGTGCGGCTTTGATCAGTCCGGATTCAGTACAGTTTGAAAATTTCAATAGAAAACCAAATAAAAATAAATTCTAATAAATTAGTACAGAACATTATTATTTTTACATAAATTACTGTCTTTTTCTATCTATACTGTTTAGACTCTTTTTGTGTAGTTTATTTTTATGCAATTTTAAAGTCCTCGATTAGTCCGGATTCAAACAGTGATATTAGCGAAACGTGAATAATCAATATCACTATACCGCATTACCTCGCATAGTACGCTTCCAACAGTACGGAAAAACTAAAGTTTAAATCAGTAACATAAAAATTAAATCTATTCTTGTCTATATTGGCAAGTCTCTATTTTTTTGTAATTCATTTGCTGCAGTTGTAGCGTTCTCGATTAGTCCGGTTTCAAACAGTAATATTAGCGGAGCCCAATATTCAAGGATTTGCTTGAATTAATATTTATGTTAGAAGTAGTTTATCATGTTTGCAATTAGCTTTAGATTAATAAATAAATCTACTTATTATCATTGATTTTGTACAACAAAAATAGATTATTCTGAAAATATCAATTTAAACCATAATTTATTATACAAAATTGAATTTCCCGCCATTCCACATACATAGTAATTCTTAGGGGGACGAAAGGTAAACACACACAAAAAAAATATACAGCGGCAGTCAATAAAAAGGTCGTTTTGTATGCGGTCAAGACTGAATAACAGGGTGCAATAAAAAATCAAGTTCCGGGAAAGTTACGACGGTCGGAACGGAAGGAGCGAAGAGTTGAATAAAAAAAAGGGACGATGGTTTAGGGCTATTT